GAGTGCTGCTTGTAGGGAATGGTCTGCTCTAATCACTATCACTGATTATTTCATTGAATTAGCGCTGGTTGGTAGTTTGTATTCACACACTTCAACTTAAAATGTAAAGTAGCAATAAAATTATTTAAAAGAGCAACACGCACGTTTCTTTCTTGTGGATGAGACTTTCCGAAGGAGCGGTAGATTGGAAAAAGAAATGTGATGACTATTCAAAAGTGCTTCAATGTAATTTATTTGAATAAATGATTTTCTATTCTATTCTATATAACTTTGTACACTCATAGTTTGCGTAATAATTACAAAAAGAAAAACTGATGAGTAAATAAGTACATGCATCTCCGAATTACGTTATGCGACATTAATTCCACGGCCACCAAGGTCATGCCGCACAGGAGTCGCCAACCTTGTCTACCAACTCTGGTTTATTAGGACCTATATTATATCGTACTACTATAAACGGGCGATATCAGTACGTATAAAAATTTTGTTTGTCTCGTAAACTTCTCTAATTTTGTATTTACAATTTAGATAAGAAAATCTAAAAATTATATTCGTCGAGTTATGCCCAAATCTCTACATATGTGTAAACATGTTATTTAAACAATTTTTGTGTTGGTTATATTATTATGTCAAAATTTACTAAATAAAGTATGTCATATCTATATCTATAAATTTTATAAACAGTTGAGTTGTTTTTGTGCAATGGTTGTGACTCGATGTTGGTGAAGCTCAGTCCGCCTAATAGTTGAGGACTACGACGAACGCAGTCATCGTCAAGTATATTAAGTGTGTACTGCCAACCTCGTAAAAACCTTTTAACGCCCTTTTACTCATTCTTAGTGTTTTGGAAAAACCTAGGCAATTACACATACTTGGGCGTTTATGAGGAAAAATTTAACCCGCTTTACGAAACTACAGTAAAGTAAAAACAAATCAAGCAAAATTTATGGTAAAAAAATATATTCTTTCATTTATTTGTTATCTGTTCTGTCGATTTTGGCATAAGAATAGGTAATTTAAATAATACTTTTTACTTTAATCGTTTTTCGCATTAAAGTAATTTCACGATTGTTTAATGAAATTGATGATTAATTATAACGTCATCAATATTATAGAATCGCAGCTGTATAGTTACAATAAATGAGATGCCATTGGTGCGTGACGTAGCAACAAAAGGCTGACGACAGCTGACCCAGGCGTGGGATTCGGAAGCGATCATTATTGAGAGTTTGAGAGGTGGAGGTGGACCTACGATTTGCGATACGAACGCCATTCCTCAGTGTGGCGCGGAACAGGCGGAACACTCGACCTTTTCAAATTTAGAATTTATATTTTTTATTTTTTTACGCGGCAGTTTTTTTTACGCAATACTCGTGATCTTGTGGCCAGTGTTCGTGTTACTTTTTTGTGACACTTCTTTGGATTTTTCTAATAAAAATACCAATTTGATAGTGTATTGGACTCATAAATATACTTATACATAGTAAGTGAACTTTTTTTTTTATTATTTAGCTTATAAAAAATATTTACGCGACATCCATCTGTTGGTCCATGTTTCGTAATGTAGATAAGACATTGTTAAACAAATCGTGTCAACGAGTTTAGTACCACTTTTATTGCATCGTAGAACAATGCTGTAATTATCATGGTTTCCGTAATTGCAAAGTGTACTAATAGATATAAGCAAATAGTATTTATTATGGCAAATGTCACCTGCGTGTGTTATCTATCTATTTCGGCTGTTTCTTTGTTCATATTTATATTCATAATACTTTTAAAAAGTGGATCTTAAAGTAACAAAAATATTAAAAGACTGGCATGAACTATATTTAATATTTTCTCTACTTTCATATTTATAGAAGAAATTCAAATTGTAATTCTTCAAGATATTGCTTATTAATATTTGAACTTCTATACTTGACCTCTTACAAACTACAGAGATGGCGGGAGAGGAATACAAAGATAAATAAAAACAATACAACATTGTTGGCCGTGTTATCAACTGTTGGTGTAGGTCAGGTACCTTTTTCCCAGAAAAAATTATGTTGACTCAGAGAAAACATTGATAAACATATGTAAGTGGGAACATTAGATCTTAGAATACATATAATAAAAATATAACTGATTGCTGTCTGTATATATGGATATTAATAGAAACTTTATCAACATATTAGAACACAAATTACTGTGATTTGATTTTATAGGCGTTTGTTTATCATCATAGTACATATGGTTTAACCGATTTGGATTTCATTTTCACTAAAGGATTGCGTCAAGTGGCCAACGTCACTTAAAACTCCACAGTTACTCTGTAGTACGTTGAATTTAAATATAAGTACTGAGCGAAATGTGGTAATGATAATTTTGTTATAATGGGACATTTTCGTTGAGTAATGTCTAAATGAGGGAAGTTGCAACCAATAGATTATTCGGGTGAATCTCGAGTATATTTTTGGTTATAGGTGTCTCTGACAACTTCAAAAGATATAATATATAAATGTATATTACGCCCTTGATGGTTTAGTGACTTCGCACACCGCTTTAATTCTAATGGTAGCTGGTTCTATTTTTCGCTCAGTACAAACATATTCATAACTACAACTGTTTGGATTGGTGTTTACTGAGTAAATTATGTATGTATTTACAAAAAAATATATGCTAAGCATACCTATCTATGTATAAGATATTATACTGTTTGTTAAATGTACAATACAGGACTAATTTGTGGTCAATGAAGCTGAAAGGGAGTGGCAACTAGTAGTGACAATGGGCATGCAAAACAAATAAAACATGACCCAATTCTTATGTACGTATGAAAAACTAACGAGCCGCCCCAGCTTCACACGAGTCTAGTAATGAATGAATAAGTAAGATGTAAGAAATGAAACAAACCCCAAATTCACACTAGAATATAAATGATGAACAACTCTATATAAGTATATATGTTTGGAAATTAAACAAAGAAATTCCGTTAAGTTTTTTGACAGTTCCTTTCAATTGAATCTATATACTAAAATTGAGAATAGGGAAAAATATATTAATACATTTTTTTATGTTCACAAGCGACTAAAATGTGAATAAAAGATTTTGAATGTGATTTAAGAAACTGAATGTTTTTAATATGAATTCGAAACATGATATAACAGATGTAAAACATTTTTTACCATTTGTGTGCAAGACAAAATATTTTCTACGTAGATTCTATTCAGTGCAGATTTTTTTAATTGTCTTTTCTTTAAAATATAAACAGAGACTGATTAATATAATTTATAATAATAATAATATATAGTATAACCAGTAATTATAATCGACTATAAATGTAGGTCGGGTAAAACAGATGTTCAGACGAGACGAGGTCGCGACCCGGCTCAACAAGTTGTACAACTGATGTGGGTACTGATTGAAACAATCGGTTTACTGTAACTCAACGTATTCAATACAATAATTGATGTAATATAAAAACATGACGACTAAAGAACTTGAAAAAAGAAAAAAATTAATTCAATTGAGTTTCTTGCCAGTCCTCTCAATTGGAATCTATATGAACTGGACTGTAGTGAACACTTATAATTTAAACAATTTGACGTTCATACGTTACATAAATGCTAAAATGTCCTACACAAAAAAGGTTTTTTGGATCTTAATTTGAACCTATGGGTGTCTGAAGAGTCAAACTCAAAAGTGACTTTTTTAACCTCGATGGTCTAAGTGTTTTGGACCTTTTGAAATGCCTTGTTTCCAAAAGTCGCGGGTTCGATTCCTGTAACGAAAGGGGATTAGATTATTTTTATCGAGTTAAAACTAACTGTAACGAATCTGGTACCTCATAATCATGGATGGCCTCTAAAGACAGTGTAACTACGTATATAGGGGCTAATGTAAGGTTATTTTACAACATTGATTGAAATGTTTTCTTTTCTCTCGCTCAATTCTATTTTTCTTGTTTGTATTAATATAAAATAGATACTTTATTGCTTTATTTACATGTAAATAAAGTATATTCTGTTTTCTCTTTAATAAGAATAGTTTAAACAAAAAAGATATCACATTTGAATATCGCCTATATAATATTATTATTAATTTCAAATTGGTAAAATTTAATTACTAAAAATATTTTAAAATAATTCAATTTATAAAATTAATTAAAATTTATAAAATTGGTAAAAATCTACACTTACTACACGAACAATATTTATTATGGCAACATAATACAATACTTAACAGTTAAAAAATACTAACGACATAACATTTACTTTGGATTTTTATTTTGAAATCTATTTGAAAACGTGTGAAAGTAAAAAACAACTCATCAATGTGTTCATGAATCAAAATTTTTTGATTCATGAACACAATCTGTCATCTATGGAAAGTTGTATTTCATAGGTTCAGTATTTTTGTTTCTTAATTCTAAATATAAATTAGGCCATCTAAAAGAACCGGTCGCTCTGGTACTTATATTAGGATATGTAAGTTATGTAAAATATATTAACACAACTGTATACTTAATATGCGGGTGATAAGATAAAATTGGTTAGAGTTTTTTGTATTCTTCAGAATACTTGAATTTTTTAATGTTTTTAATTATTTACTTTTTCTATTTAACATATTCCACAAGTATATATCTTATAATAACGGTATTACGGTTTATAATGTAAAATCAGGTGTTACATGTTTGAAAAGAGTTAGACATCAAAAAAAATATTGTGTTTAAAAAAATCGTAACGCATGCAAAACTGTAGTACTTAATTTAGTTATTATTATTATAGAGTTATTTCTATCCTATTATTAATTAATAGTTTATTTTTGTCTGGTTTGCACTTTTATTGAAACTTTTAGGTGCGAATATGTTAGTATGAGACGATTATGTTATATTATATTTGTAATATAAACTTAAACCCCAAATAGTCACACACATAAACGCATAGCTGGCACCAATGATTTACTAAATTTGCATATCTGTATTCAGTATTGAAGCTATACTTATTTATTACTTTTTTTAGGCAAAGCAACACCAACCGTACAGCCAAACACAAAGTCAACGCCAACAAAATCGACCACTGCTTCAAATAATTGCAGAACAAATTCTAAAGAAGTCGCTGAAGACAACGTCAGCCAAAGTTCCCTCGGAGGAGGTATAAAAGGCAAACTGGCGGCTTTATTCAGTAAAGAGCAGACGATAAGCGAGACAACAATAGCGAATAAGTTTAAACAGGAAAGAGAGAAGGAGATGGAGATGCTACAAAACAGATTTAATTATAAGGTAAGTTTGTTTATACCAGAGGGAATGTTAGTACAGTCGTTTGTGTATATCTATCGTCAGCAGATGGAAATGAAATCAATGTTTATTTACATATGTTTATATACATATATGCTTGTTTTGAAAGCTGTGTCCGGTATTAAGGGTGAGATATTGTAGTGGAATTTCAAGGTATAAAAACATACATTAGACTTGTACTTACACGAGAGACGCTGTGTATTAAGTGATGTTTATGTCTGTTGATGATTTGCTACTTTATACCATATTCACTATCACCTATGTATAAAAAGAATTTTAGATATTAAAACTTAAATAAAACTTTTATTGGCTGTTGATATAATACACATAGATTTTGTACAAAGCGGTCTCACTTATTTTTGCCGCCAAGCAACTTGCTCTGTTTCGGTTTTAAAGGAGATATGGCAGTAAAGTACGGGATAAAAGGCATAAAACAGTATTAATTTATTACTTTAATGCACACATGCAATGTAAAGTACATATGGCGAATATAACACCATAGAGCCTTCTCCACCAGTCAACAAACTGAGAAATTAGTAAGCGTCGCAATATAGTTAACAAACATACCTACGTGGAAACTTTTCGTTAATTAGTTCATAGGAATAGCGATGTATCACGGGTGTGCTGTTCATATATAACTTTTCATCAGGTAACCAGCCATTTCAATCATTACATAATTTATAACAAAATCGCTGTCGCTGTCTGTCCGTCCCTATATATGCTTAATTCTTTAAAACTACGCAATGGATTTAGAAGCGTGTTTTTAAATAGATAGTGTGATTCAAGAGGAAGATTTATCTGTATAATACATGCATACCCCTGCGAAGCCGGGGCGGGTAGCTAGTGGTATATAAACGTGTCTTTAAATAAACCATTAAACCTTTTTTTATAAATACGTTTTAGTTTTTTGAAGCACATTTTTTTTACATAGGTTGAAAGGACAAAAGTCAAAGACAAAATATACAATGCTTTATTTAGACAGCACACAACACTAGCCGCGCTTTGCCCCTTCTCCAGTTATTCCTGTACCGGGTACTTGTGTCACTTCACATTTCTACATTATTTTGGTCTTTCTCGATACATATGTACGGTATGAACTCTATATGTAACATGAATACGACTTACATAAAAGGGGATATGCAGGTTAAGTAGTAGAGTTAAATAGAGACTATTCTCAATAAGCAGTGTAGAAATTTAAAAAAGAATTTTCTGCCTATCAGAGACGAACTAGGAATCCAATCCAATCCAATAACATACGATGGATCCATTGTGAAACTGGAAGAGAAACTTCGAACAGTCAAGACTTTAGAGCTTGCACTAAACTTCTTAAATTTGTATTACTACTTCATTTTATAATCCAGGACAAACACAGCACCATCTTGTCCCAAACTAAACAGCTTGTTTTATGGTTAATAAACGATTGTTAGACATACTTGAATACAATTTTTAAAATACATACATAATATACATATAAAATACGTCTAAACAAATAATCATATCATGAACGCAAATGTGTGGATCGTGCGAGGAATCGAACCCACGATTATTGGCAGAAGGCGGCGTGCTGAAATGTTAGACCATCGTGGCCTTTTGAGTTATGCACTCATTGCTATTAACTCTACATAATGTAAAACGCCTGCCATATATATTCCTTTGTTTGTACTAATTTAGTACCTAATAAAAAGACTATATACTAAGATTATTATTATGGTAATGAGTTTATACATTATACGATCAATTAGACTAAACCGGTCTCTAATGGCCTTAATGGCATTACAGAAGTGGATATATATAAAGTGGTACTCGATTTTAGCATTAATACGTAATATGTAGTGTAATATTTGATTTTTTTCTTTATACGTTGAAATGCTGTAAACAAACAATATGGACTGTTTGTTTATAGCATTTTTGTATGTCTAGAGTCTATAATTGTGTCTGTTCTCTATGGATGATGGAACGACAAATAGATAATTCTCGCGAACTCAAGATTTTATGATTTGTATTTTTATATTAATGATAATTCTGGATAATTCACACAGCACCATATAGTCCTAAGCTTGTGTTATAAGTACTACATAAACAACTGATAGATATACTTATACACATTTTTTTTTGTTTTTACCTAATAAATAGACTCATACTATACCAACAATTATACTCATATGTAATGAACTAATTAATACAAATGTTTGTAACATGCGAGGAATTGAACCCGCAAACATTGGAACTGAAGTAGTTAGACTATAAGGATATGTAAAGAAAATAGAAGATGAATATGTAGGTATACGTAATTACGTTCAAATTGCCAATTAGTATTACCTACATATGTAATACGGAATGTACAAAGCAATACAGGCTTTCACCGAAAATATACAAAAGGGCATTCATATGCACAATAACAAAAATATGTGTTAATTTTTACAGCAACCATATGTTGACTTCGGTTGCGTCAGCACGGTTAGATGAAAACGCCTTCACACCAAGTTTGTTTAGAGAAACTCGTAGTGATTTCGCCATTTCTTGTCATATCGTATAAGTTTAAGTATTTGATTTTTCTATTGGGGGATTTGGGCTATTATTAAGTGCTAAGATCTGTAACACTGCGACCTACATAGATCTATTGTACTCGCCCTTTTACAAAGTTCGCTACCTAGACACGTTCGGGACAAGAACTGAAGGATATATTCTTAGGAGCGATAGTTTTTATCTCCTCAGGATGCCGTGTATACTTTCCAAAGATATTTCGTTTATGCATGAGTGGGCTACAACCTCATAGTACATGTACTAGTAGTATTAGTATATTAGGACTTTTTCTATAATTGGTATATCATACTAGCAGACGATCCTATCTGATAGTAGTTGGTAATCATCGCCTACATACATGAACAGCATCTATCACTATGTGATCACGTGTTCCCATTCCGGTGGACTAAGAGGTCGTGCCTCTTATCTCGTAATTTCATTGCCTTTCAACCGAAGAACTGCTATTTATTATATATTAGCTGTACCCGCGGTTTCGTCTGCGTGAAATTTATAGTCTATGTATAGGCAATATTATTGTAATGTTTCATTAAAATTCATTCAGTAGTTTTTGCGTGAAACAGTAACAAACATCCATGATCCATAATCACAAACTTTCGCGTTTATAATATCAGTAAAATTTGAAGTAAAATTTGAATCCTATTGTATTTTTGCGTATGTTTAAGTATCTCTGTAAATCGTTTAGTATATGTACAAGGTCTGCATAGATTAGATTGCAATTAAAAGATAATTGTCGAATATTATTTATATATTTATCATCTTGGTTTATAATGCAATAGTTACAATATTTGTATGCCCATTCCTTATGAAGTTTTAATATGAACAGATGTTAGGATAGAAAAGGATTTAGGCAAAAGTTTATCTTGCAGAATCTCTGTTTTATGTCATGTTTAAAGCCTATGTTATTCGGATGTATAAACTATATTAGTGCAAAGTTTCATCGAAATCCGTATAGTAGTTTTGACGTGAAGAGTAACAAACATCCGTCCATATATCCATCCTACTTACAAACTTTACTTTTATAATATTAGTAGGATATAGTGACTTTACAATCACGACATCCATTAATGGTGATGACACATGTCTTAATCATCTCTTATTGATCTTTTTTAAAAATTTGTGGCGTTGGAAGGTAGTATTTTGAGTTAATACGTTATACAGCGACATTAAGTTCATCGCTTTGCATCACAGAATTTGAGAGCGTTGACTCTGGGTTCATGTCACGCTTTTGATGAGTCATTACTTTTATTGTATCTTTAAACTTAAGTACTACAGTTTTGGTTGATCTTAATTCACAGTCAAGCTTTACATATCATATATTAGAATCCATTATATATAAATTATACTTATATGTTTATTATGGATTCTAATAACTAATGAAAATTATATAATGTTTATAAATTGATTAGCGAAACTTAATTTTTTATTTTAGTATGTTTTGAACATAGGAAATCGAATTATATCTGCAAGTTTTATTTTATACCAAAAATGTAAAGATTCATCGATAAAATTGACCAACATTGAAAATCGTTTAATTATATTACTAAAAACTAAAAAATGTGTTTTCAAATTTACATACAATTTGATTCAATTTGTATGCAAATTTGAAACAATTTGATTTGATCCTTTTATAAGACAAAGCATTTGTAGCAGCACACAAGAGTAGTGGAACACAGCTACGCGCCAACTGCCGGCGCAACGCGATCGCCGCGCTTATAAACCCGGTGCGAGCGGGAGCGCACTAGCATTGCCTTCTCACTTCATGAATGGAATCACCTGTTTGTATAGTATACTAATGACATGATTTTACGCACATAAGTTGTAAAGCATTCCAAATAAATCAATCCACGGATACTACTAAATTATTGGTTTCTCTTCATCCCATACGAGCCACAACACTGGTGACCCCTACTGGAACACAACCTCACCCGGGAAACTACTTGAAGATGACGAATCAAGAAGCCACTACAAACAGATCAACACTACAAGAAGTCGACGGCATTGCACTATCAATGCGTGTACCACCATTCTGGCGAGATAAACCACGATTATGGTTCATCGCTTTCGAAGCTGTTACCAACGACCCCAAGAAAAGCGAACTACAGCGGTCGCAAATGGTCATTGCCCAGCTACAAAAAGAAGATATCGAGCAAATATGCGATCTCCTAAACGCACCCAGTGACAAGCAGTACACCGTCATAAAAGAACGACTCATATCCGTCTATGAAGAATCGGAGGGAAAACAATTACAGACATTGTTATCCGACATGGAGCTCGGAGACCAGAAGCCCAGTCAGCTGTTACGACGCATGCGCAATCTAGGAAGAAACAAAGTTCCTGACAACACGCTGAGATTGATGTGGATGAATCTCTTGCCTCCACACGTACGATCCGTCCTAGTGGTCAGCGACACCATCAGCAAGGATACTGCACTCGACGAACTC